CAGCAACGCCCCTAAGCGTAAGAGTTGACAGCGATGTCCTCGAAGAAGCGTACCTGAACTGCCCCAACGCAGGGGTAGAGTTTGACCCTTTAACCGTATATATCTCAGGTAGTCTTCTGTGCTCATTTCATGTCTCAGTGCATCTCAGCGCTTGAGATCCGGAAGCTACTCAAATTCCATTCTCAAGCAGTGCATCCTGACGTAGAAGCAATTCAACAGCTCAGCCTCGCTGTCAAGCTTCAGGGTCTTGAGCTGAGTCAGCAGAACCATCAACTGCTGAGCGGCCCTGCGGAAGAGGCAGTATAGTACAAAGTCAAACGACAGGCTGACCCTCCTCCAAGTGTCTAAACATTGGTCTCGTGTCAAACGCTCGGGCTGCTCGGGCAGCCGAAAGGGGGCCAGAAACCCTGGCAGCGTTTGCGAAAGACTTATGTGAAGAGGAAAGCCCTTTTAGCGACGAGGCAGCGTCCATGGTCAGGGGCGACTGGGGAGCTGTTGGCGCAGAGCGTTCGTGGGACGACGCTGGTGTGGACGCAGCTGCGGCGTGGGCGCCGAGCGTTCTCGGCACATTTCTGCCGTGCATGCAAGGGTGGACGGGGCTGGGCAGACCGTGGGCCGAGCGTTGGCGGGGCGACGCTGGATTTGTCTGCTTACTCTGACTCTGCATGCTTGACAGTAATCCCCGACATGCGACATTGCGCAGGCTTCTATTCTCCGTGGTGCCTGAAGAACGGTTTGTTTTTTGGGTTCCCGGCTTGACCTTGTTTCTGCGACCTTCCTCTCAGGTATACATACTTCTGGTAGTGCACCTAGACCCCGCATTGCCAATAGCACGCCCCAAGCAGTACAAAAGGAATGAACCGGAAGTATCCGACTGCGCGGGAGCAGCTGAGGTCTCAGATTCCTGGCGTGAATCCCGCTGCTAGCACCTCTTGGTATACCCTTCCAAACCTAAGATCCTTGTGTTCAACTTGGGCACCCACTCCGACTCGCTGTCCTGCAGTCACATGTCTAGATATTTCGGTGTTCCAGCGTGGCGCCATCTCGTATGCGGATCTACCGTATTTCTAGATCCGAAGCTTATTCTACAATCTGGGTTCACACAGGCGAGGAATTGTGGCAATTGTCCCGGGGCTGTCATGGCTACATGCACTTCGTTTTAGCCTCCTTTAAGATTCGCAAGCTTCATGACCGTTCTTATGGCTGCTTCTCTTTTCCCATCAGTGGTCCGGCCGGCCAGTCTCTGCGGCATAAAGCTTCGCTTCCAAGTCGGTATGCTTCACCTGCAAAGTTTCCATGCTGGACAGCCGCCGGTAGTTTAGAGTTAGAGCCATGGCAGCATCACCAATTTCTCGCCTCAAGCTGTGTACGCTCCTCTTGCTGTATCTCCAGCCTGTCCATGCCCAAGGTTTGAATCACTTCCTTGATCGTTAAAGGGCACTCTGACAGCTGATGGGTTCTGAGACTCGGTCCTGCGCTGCAGCGAGGCCTGGGTGGCCTGGACCCAAGAGTCCATCCTACTCTGCTGCGGCTGCTGCGCAGTGGCAGATAATTCCAAGAGAAGTTAGCTGCGGACGAACTTGCCCAAGTGAGACCACATAGGGGCCCTGCGAGACTCTTCCCAACGGACTTGCGAAGGTCCAGTGCCTCCAAACCAAACTTTGCAAGTGCACATTCTGCATCTGCTTGATTGTACAATTGTTCTCGGAATGGCGTGTTTTATTGAGGTGCCCAGGGCTAGGTTCCATCACGCGACCTCGCAGATCAACTGCCGGAACATGTCAAACCAGGCTTCCGGTTCTCAACCCTTCGCAGATTTCGCGTCCAATAAGAGGCATCAAATAAATCAAAAAGCTCAAACACTATCGAGTCAGTTAATCAATTGGGGCGATGCTACACGCCCGGGAGAGACACCCACGCTGCAACAGCAAAGGCATAACCCTTAATGGATTCTTCCTCCGAATCACTCTCCCAAACAGCCTTGCCTCTCGCTGTGTACCAGGCAGGCACCCTGCACAGTAGCGAGCACTCCGCTCGGGCACCAGGCAACCACAAACCACGCACACCTAAGCGCAGGGACGCAGGATGCAATTATGTCTGTCCGTCCGTCCGTCCGTCCGTCCCTGTTTTATATTATTTACACATGAATATTCGCCCCGGCCCCGGCCGAAGCACTACGAAGTTCCCACAAAAACTCTTTTGTTTCCCCTCTCCTTAATCCCGACCCTTGCAGGAGCAACACCTCCACCACCCCTTCCTGCGCGTGAACTCACTGACCGGCCCCAAGGCACGATTGTGCACTTCCATGTCCTTCACGATTCCGCACAGGCAATCCGACGCACATTTCCTGGCTTTGACCGTTCGCCCAGCCGCCCCTTTTGGACGACGCGAAGCATGTGCAATCACACAGATTTTTCGGTATAACACGTGCATGTACGGATGTCTGCATGTATAAAGTCATATTTACACTTCACATTCATTGATCTAATATGTGTATATATTATATATATATATGTACTCATACATACATACATACATACATACACCATAGATACATACTTACATACATAGATACATACATATGTACATATATATATATGTATACAGAGAGAGTTTTGGTGTATGTAGGTCGCCACGACATGGGGTCTAAGATTTCAACTGCACGAAAGCGCAGCAGACAACTTATAGCTTTAAACCGGACTATCGGTTTGTTCGTATGTTCATGTATGCATGCAAGTATGTCTGCGTATGTATGTATATATATATATATATATTTATTTATGACGTATGTATGTATATGTATATGTTTGTGTATGTGTGTGTATGTGTATATGTATATGTATGTGTATGTGTATGTGTACGCGTATGTGTATGTGTATGTGGGCACGCCCCCTTCAAGATCCACCCTCGGGGGCTGCCTCTGCCCTGTCGGGATACTGAATAAGCTCTTCCCTTGTTTCCAGTATCATCTGAGATAGAGCTAGTCCAAGCTTTCCAGCCTTGCATCTGTGAACTCCTGAAGATCATCTAATAGATTGGGCTTGGCTTACGGAAGAACCCAATGGCTCCTAATATTCCTGTCGTTCCGAAAATGATGCGCTCTCTTCCAAAGTAAGCTCTTCTAGCAACTTGACCACGAAGACTTGAAACCTTCTTCAGATTTTCGTATTCGGCATCTCCATATGATTTGGTAGCAATTTGAAGAAAGCTCCCTTTCCATTATAAACTAAGGAAGCCGAGCGGTCTTTATTATTCATAATTGGACTCCAACTCCACTAGATGAGAACAAACTCCATATCCTTCAAGAGACATGCATGATGGCACTTTTAATCGTAGAGAACTGAAGAAAGCGGCTCTTCATCTGAAGATACGACCTATGACAGCTAGTAAAGACACAGGCATTGGCATAGCGATCGGTATCTCTTTCCCGGAAATGAGACAGCATCAACAAGATTAAATAAATAAAAATTCCTTTATCCATAGGAAGGAGCATTGGAAGGCTCCATTGTCCTTTAATGATAGCGAAAAGTAGAAGAGTTCCCTCAATCTTCAATATGACATCAAAACAATTGCGACTGAGATGGGTCCGCCTTGTGTTTACTGAACAAGAGTTTCGCAAGCACTCAAGATGGCACCTCTGTTCCTTGCAGGCTGAAGCGAGCCCTTTCTTGTGATGCGAACTATGACAGCTTCTAAACCACAGCCATGGACAAATCATTCGGTGTCTCTTTTCAGGGTAGGAGCGAGGCAGCTTCAATAAGAACTCAAAGAAGTCGGCTGCTTCTTGGGACAGAAGTCGGGGCCCTTTAGTAAGATATGACAGTCAGGAAACCCAGCGAGACCCGAGCTCCGCTAAACCATAAGCTCATAGGGAAGGTGTAGATGCAGGATAGCACATGTCTGTATTAAACTACTACTGTAATTGACAAATCATGTATTGGAAACTAAACTACAGCATGCGGTTCGTGTCCTGGACATCACGAGACACTGTAACAATCAAACAATTCCAGAATTCCCCGCCCCAAACCTCACGAACCACTGCAATGCTCAACACAATCCGACAATCTGGATTCCATGCTCACAAGACACTGTAATGCTCAAACAAATCCAAGATTATCAACCCTCGACTCAAACTCACGAAACGCTACAATGCTCAGGCAACACCCAAAAAGTTGGAGAAGTTTGTTCCACGTCCATTCATAGATGCCAGAATTTTTTGAATTTTTGGAGCATGACACAGTGAGTTTTTGTGTGCTTTTTCTCTGCGATGTTGAGCATGACAATGCTTGGTGCACACCTCCACGCACCCATGAACCATCAATGCAGTGGATCTGTACATATCTATATGTATATGTGTGTATATGTATGTATGTATGTATGTATGTAAATATATGTATATATACACACAGAAGGGGAGGCTCTGGGGCCTGCGTTTTTGAAACCCACCATGATCAGTGGTTTTGTATTTGTATGTTTCGAGTGGTGTTGTGTGGGTTTATGTGTCAGTTGGTCTCCATCTCTCTCTCGCTCCATATATATATATATATCATAAATACCTATATATACACATACATCCAAATCTATACATTGCAGCCCTCTCGAGTGACACCACAGGTCAGGGTGCAACCATTGTCTGATTGTCGGTTTGTATGCTACAACACACTACACTGTATTTAATCGCATCATGGAGCAACAGCAAGATTTCACTGCTGACAATTACGGATTCCTTTCCTGTTTAGGCTCAAAGTTTAAACACTCTAGACTCTCTGAGGTTTTGGCCTGTTCAGCCACCAATGGCGGACCACGATCGGGGCCTGGATTGACTGCGGGTTGAAGGACAATTCACGCCTCTGTGTTTCAGGGCGCTCTAAGGCTTTCTCAGCATGTGCTCACGATCATATAACGACTCTTAGATCACTCGGGATTGAGGAGGGCGTACTGTGCTCCCCTGCCGACTGCTGCTGTATGATGAACGCTGTCAAGAGCTGCTCGGCTGCTGGTTATTTTGTTCCATTGTTGTTCCCCTCCTCTTCGTCTCTCTGGGTACCTTCATCTCTTGGCGCTACCGAGGCTCGCCAGGCTGAATGGAAGCGAGTGAACTGGAGGTTTGTACCCGACTGTACAAGTGAAGGAAAGCCCAAGCCTGGTGCTTCGCAAAATGAGAAGGGGCTCATTGCCACAATAAGCGCTCAGGCTCAGGGCTCGATGAAGGCTGCCCTGGCCCTTGTGGTGGAGGCTCTCGATGATACCAGAGAAGCCCAGAGAGAGTCACAACGAAAGCGGCACCATAAGTCCAGCTGATGTCCCTGTGCTGCACCTGTCTGGAAACACTTGCACATGCACGCGCGGTGGGAACTGTTGCCCTACAAGCTCTGAGGCTCTAAGTCGGTATGCATGATGAGGGTGACGGAATAAGTAAAACACATCTATCGAGCCGCTACAGGCTCTGATGCGCCAGCCTGCCAAGAGAAGAGAATGCTGTACACGTCGCAGGTTAGCAGGGACATGTTGAATACTGCGGCATCGGCGATTTGCAGAAAAATGCTCACCAGCATATAAACTCCAAACAAGCAGAGCTGAAAGCCAATCAAACATGTGATATCTTTCCAACTCCAGGTGATGTCCACAAAGTTGCGGCCCTCAAGCGTGATGGCCTGAATGCAAGAGATGATGCTCCCACACACGCCAAGCATACCGAGCGCTTCATAGCGGCTGCAGCCATGCTTCAGGAGATGTTCCTCTTGGATGTTGGAACTTGCATAACAGCAGCAGCCCAAAAGCACGAGGAGATCTCCCAACCAGGCGAGATGGGTGGACTCCGTCTTGGAGCTGTCTGCGAAGACCGTCAAGCTCAGACCGCAAAGACAAACGAAGCAGGCCGCAAGGTGGTATTTGGAGTACCTCGTTCCCAGAAGAAGCCGCGAGAGCAACATAACGACGGCAGCTGTAAACCCGTCTAGGAGCATCACCGACGCCACGGAGGTATAACGGTAGGCAAGGACGACCAAACAGTTCCCTTCCACATCTGCCAAAGCCCAGAGAGCATAGCGCCACCATGGCAGCCTCAAGCCTTCTTGGCGGATCTGCGGGTAGGCAAGTAGGATGAGAGGTGCGAGCAACAAGTAGTTTAGGCTGGACTGAATGGTCGGAATGCTTATCCCATCTGATGCCAAAGTGGACGTGAAGATCCCTGTCAGTGTATTCATGACTGAAGTCACTTGGCCCAGAAGGAGGGATGTCAGGGACACAGATGTGCAAAGACCCCGCGAGCCCAATCCTTCGCGCGTCACCTCGCTGCCGTGTCCGGCAGGGTTGTCTTGGCCAATTGTCATAGCCTTGAAGCTGAAATCTCGTGACAGGCCGTGGGAAGGCGAAGTGTCACAAAGGCTTTCGAAAGTGGCCTGGACGGACAGCTTCATACAATGCTCAAGGTGGGAGCTGCCTTGCAACCATGCTTGTCAATGTTCGTGGGGTGAGGAGGTCTTGCTGGTTGCCCATGTGGGTAGTTGCTGTTAGTGCAGAACTAAAGCCGTGACTACTCGAACATGTTCATGACAGAATGTGAGACGAAGTGCTCGAGCCGCAAGTCGCGAAAGCACTATTTGACATAGTGGGTACGGCATAAGGCATGAAGGATCTGCATTGGCAGTCTGGGCTGCGGTCCCAGCGAGGTGGAAGCCTCCCCCTTTAGCCTGTGGGCACTTAGGTACGTGGTCTGTGGCTGCCACTGTTGTGATTATCTGTGACACATGCACGCCAACAACTGGAGCCGCATGATCACAGGCCAGTACCTAGCGCTTCTGTCAGCACCTGTCGCTGGCCCACGATAGCCACACATGCCCCCGATATTACTAGAGCATGAAGCAACCGCGCTTTTCGGCAATAGCAAAAGAAAGGACTGCCAGCATCAAAAGGACGAACACCCGAATGTATCGGAGAGCAGCTGACAGGTAGGCTTTCTCGTAGCCGAATGTAGCCGAGAGAAGGAGCGAGATAGAGGCCACGGAGGAGAGGAGGCAAGTGGAAGGGGAAGGCGAGGATGGGAGGAGGGGAAGGGGAAGGGGAGGGGAGCGGAGGTGGCAAGCTTTCGGAACCAGTGCATCTTGCCGAGTGAACAAGTGGATTCCCAATCGCTGATATCCCGCAACAGTGACACGTGCTCAACATGAGAAACCATGTCTGTGCCCACGAAAGCCTTGAATCTTTGTTGCGGCTTGATCGAACACCTTGGAGCAGATGGCGACAGTTCATGGTCGCCTTACCCTCACCTGGTCCATGCCACTTGTTCTGAAACAAAAATGACAGCTCGCCTGGCTTGCGCTCGTGCCCACGGGTGTTCAGCTCCTGCGGTTCTTCGGCACTGACTCGTCCTGTGCCTCTGCTACTATGTCTCACCCAGTCCAAGCTTCGTACCACTGCAAACCCGCCCACCGAATGCAGATCTAGACTCTAGACCGCATACCAGTAAAAAATTGCCCGGGCAGGGTTTGCATCAGAACGGAGATGTGCCGACCACCGCGGGCACTCACTGCAAAGCAGCGGCGCAACTCACCCCAGCTTGCTTGACTTGTTGACCGACCATGACCGACCCTCCCTTTCGTCCTGCTTCGCTGCAGCCCGTGCTCTTCGAACGTGACCAAACCGTTGCTCTTGGCGCTCCTTCTCCACATGGCCTGGCTCGTCATCCGACTGTACGTCCATCGTCGAAAGGGCTCGCATGCGACTAGATACAAGTAGCTGCGTTCGAGGAAGGCAGGGCCTCAATCTGTCATCACCTTTAGCTCTCAGGGCTGGGCATCTGCTCAACTGCTCCTGCAGTTTCCAAACTTTCGCATGCTGCCTGGCCGGAGCCGAAGCATGCATGTTGTTTCACGGGCAGAGGCACTCCCCGTGAGAAATGATAGCTGTCAACGGAAACTACTTTCAGCAATGATGCTGGTGTTGGAATACAAGGGAAAGTATCCCTGCAAAGTCATCACAAGCACTGTCAAGATATGGCCATGCCCGTTCAAGTTGCAATCCTGATCGACTTGGCGGCGTCCGAAGAGCATGGATGATTCGCATAATTATCATAATTATCACGGTAAGCCCTGCATGTCACGGCGAGTTCGACAGCACGTTTGGTACATCATCGGTCATTGTCTTTTGTCAAGGAGCCCTCCGCCAACACCCGCGCCAGTGCATGAGCATGCGGCGACAAAAAATGCAGCCGTGAGACGACGCATAAGGAAGAAAAAGCATATCTGCGCGCGCCAAAGGTGGCGGCAGAGCTGAGCCAGGAAGTCCCGGCGGTACTTGGGGCCGTCCCGGGCCTCGGCTCTCAACAGCCTAGCCGCAGCATGCGGCAGCCTGAGCTCTATGCCGGCGTTCAGCATCGAGGCCCCAGGCCTCCGAAGCGTCATCCCATCCTGTGGGCTTGCGGGCCTTGGGCACCGAAGTCTGCGCAGACGGCCAACACCTGCCAAACCAACATCATCCAACATCTGACAACTGGGACACTGACTGCCGCTTGACCGCAACCTGGGTGGAAACCCAGGTTTTTGGTCGATGCAAATCTGTTGCTTGAAGCCCGGACGCTCAAGCCTAGGTGGCTTGGCAGGTCGCCATTGCTTAAGGCCCATGCGACTTGTCGCTTTGGCAGATGCCTGGATCTGTCGAGGTAGCGATTGCTGCACCGGTTTGTCAGGAGGCTTGCAAGGTACACCCTCAAGGCTTGGGGTATCAGCTGCGATGCGTGTATAAGGTGCAGGCAGGTCTCTTTCTTCCGAGCTCCTCACAAGAAAGACACAGCAATGTTTCGCTTGCTTGCCACCTGGCTCTAGCAAGCTCATGTCGAAACTCGCGACTTGACATACTGCTGGAACTGTTGGATGTGAAACAATGAAATGACCGTAATGAGGTGCGCTCCAACGAAGCACCAAACCTTCGCCAGTCCTGCGTCCACATGTGTCCTGGTTTTTTGTGAACCTCTGAGAAGGTTCTGCAAGGGCAGTTGTGAAGGAACCGACGACCCTCTCCAAAGAATGGTCTAAGTCGAACCTGAGGCCGCCACGAGAGGGTCTGATGGTGCTAGCCAGTGATGAAGACCGCGCCTAAGCCGACTGAGATGGGCTGAGGCTGCGGTATCTTGTGCTCAATGCGAAAAGGTCATGTGGTGGAGGGCTTCGCAGGGCTTCCCTAACTCCCTAACCATAGAAGGCGCCATTTTCATGTTCCCCCTCGCTCTTCGAGGTTTCACCGGCGCAAAGTTGAAAGACCTTCACGTGCACCTTTGCAGGTCCTGAGCCAAGGCATCCAGCCAAAAAATGCAGCAATTCCTCGAGCATGTCTGCAGCAGGCGGTGGATTGAAAACAAGCACTCCGGAACTTTGTAGTGATGTCCGAGTGGGATCTTCTACTGCAAACTCTGCAGCCAAGACCTCACCGGTGTTCAGAAAAGCAGCTTGGCCGTGGAGGTTGGAGGTTTGAACGGTGTCTAAGCAAGGATACCACATCAAAATGCAGCACTGAGGCCGCTCAAAGCGCAACTTCCTGACCAGAAAGAGGCTCCATGCCATGTGCAGGTCGTAAGGGTCGCATGGCGGATCGATCATCACGAGCGCCTTGCCTGTTGGGATGTGTCTGTGCAGGAGCCACCAGTAAGAGTCCGCGCAAATAGCTTCTTTCCGACGTATTGTGTTGATGTGTTGGATGTTGCCAGCTAGGTCGGAAAACATTTCCTCGGAGATCTCGAAAACGGTCGCCGTGTCTTGCGGCCGGAGCCATGCCAAAGCCAAGACTGTCGAACCTGGATAGAAACGAAGGCCGGCACGAGTACGGAGAGCACTCTTGTTGTGCCTCTTCACTGCAAGTGCATACTCACATGCTGCAGAGGGCGGCATCGGAGTCTCTCCAAGCCGATGCAGCATCTGAGAGATTCCGTATTCAGAGTTCTGACTTTCTGCGCTGCAGCGACTATCCAGCAGGTAGATGCCCCTCCCTGCATGCGTGTCAACGAAATGGACAGGTTCCGCCGTGGAGGTGAAGTGTTGCAGCAAACAAACGAGGACGGTGTGCTTGAAGCAATCCAGGGAACTGCCAGCTTGTACCGTGTGGTCATACTTGGATGCTGAGAAGCTCCTGCAGCCGTTTTCCACCATCTCTTGTACAAGGTCCAAAACCAACTGCCACTGGCCCGTTCTGGCACATGCAGATATAGCCGAGCTATACACGACAGCATTTCGTTGCACATCGTGTGTGCTCATAAATCGGAGCACCCCCAAAGCATGCTGCCAGTATCCTGCTTTCCCTGCTGCAGCAATGGCAGCTGTGCAAACGACAGAGTCGATCTCCACTTTTTGTGATGTTGCGCATGCAAACATGCGAATGGCCTGCTGCCATTGCGAAACTTGGTGGCATGCCTGAATTGCCGAGCTGCAGGCGAATCTGTCCACAGCCACTCCGGCCTTCGGCATGTCAGCAAGAAGGCCAATTGCATGGCGCCAGTTGCTGGCGGATGCTGCTGCACGGATGGCTGTGACAAAACTGATACTATCCGTCTGCAGGCTGAGCTTCGGAAGTTGCGCAAAAACTTCCAAAGCTCGCAGCCACTGCTCAGCTCCGTGGAGAACATCCATCAAGCTGTTCCATGTGATGGTGCTGCTGCGAACCTGCAGGAGCTGCATCTCCGTCACGAGATGCAGCGCAAGGGTCCAAAGCTGTGCCTGTGCCGCCCCGCCCATCAGCGCTGTGTAGGTCACTGAAGTCGGGTTAAGCCCCTCTCCGGCTTTGAGGGAATCATACAGGCCAAGTGCCAGGTCCCAGCGAGAGCCAGTGACGCACGAAGTCAACACCGAATTATAGGCAGGCATCGTCCAACCTGCAGATGATGAACGCGGGATCTGCTGAGGTTTACTTCGGAAGATGGACCCATACCGAAATGAAACCATTTTTCTTTGCAGGTGCCTGGCATGAGCTCCAAGATCTGCAAGGCAGACGGCCAGCTGCTACTTGTCTCGCACCTGGGCCGGCCGGGGGGCCCGGCGGCACTTGGGGGACAGAAAGTCGCATCGAAAATCTGAGCAATGCCAACTTAATTTGGTCGCCAGGGGGCGCGCTGAGGCAAGCGCTGAAGCTGAAGGCATTGGGCTGGAGCCTTGCCTGGGGCATTGAGAGCAGCAGGGCCAAGCTGTGTTGCCACTGCTCCCCGCGCGCCAGGGCCGAGAAGCAGTTGGTGTAGGTGATTTCACTCGCCTTCTCAGGATTGAAGGCGAGGCAAGTGCATTACGGCACATCCGCATTGGTCGCGGCAGGGACAGTTCTACGAATCCTGCCTTCTCCTCTACAGTCTGCAGCATTCTCTCTCTTATCATAGCAGTCTAGACAACAGGTCATCAAAGCTTGCCTGGAGCTGCCAGGTCGACAAGGTGTACAAGAGGTCCAGCGCTGCTGGCCACTGGCTGCCTGCCCCGCATGCTGAGATCGCCGAGCTCACCTGCCAGGCTGAAGTGAAGCAAGGCTTTCAAAGTGGACATCCTACGATCGTTGATTCGGTTTTCACAGTGTTCACAAATGCTTTGCCAAATTTTGCAGAAGCCCTCGCCAGGATAATGTCCGGCTGCACGGAACCCAGGCAGGAACCAAATAGAGTCACTGCAGCCTGCCACATTACAGCACGGCTGCAAGCTTCCAATGCTGAGCTGCAGCTTCTGACATCCGCTAGCATGCCTTGTCGCTCTATGCTGCCAAGAAGATGAAGAGCCAGCTGCCAGTTGGAGTGTTTCTGGCATCCACTGATTACGGTGTTGAACTGAATAACGTTGGCTTGTACTGCAGCTTCTTGGAGACAGCTGAGCCCATGCCACGCTGCCACGACATCGGTCTGGCAGATTCGGCCCAATTCGGCAGTGATCTGCCTGGGAGTTGGAAGCCGATCTGTGCTGAACGCTGGTGTCGTGGGTGACTGCATGGGTCTAATTGAAAAAGCCCTTCCGAGACTAGCCTCCTGAGCCTTTTTCGGCAATTCCTGCAATCAAGCAGTCGAGGGCAGATTGCCACTAAATGCCACGAAGTTCAAGCGACTGAAACGTGTCTGGCAAAAGCACATTACCGTGACTGCGGCATGCGAAACAAGCTGGGCAGGTCAATGCGGCAAGCCTCACAGATAGCCGGTCGGACACATCTGGAAACGCCGAGACATGACACACATCGAAAACGGCGAACGGTCGGTGCCTGGAACGGACGATGCTAAGATGCCTTTCGGCATACGGGACCACCCCAAGCTAGAGTATGGACGTAAAGTTTACATGTAAAGGGTAAAGTATGCGGTGCCAGAACCGATCGGCAAGTCTGAGGCATGCCACAACTCAAGAACTTTTTTCTTGGCCTTGCTCTTGCCGCAGCGCTTGGCACTGATCAGGTTGCATATCACGGATAAATTCTGAGGGTGGATGTGCCAGCCGAAAAGCGACGCTCCGTGCGACACATCAACTGGCACTGCCACATGTGCCGCGCCACTTCGTAATTGATGTGACGAGTTGCTTGAGCGCCAGCCTCTCTGCGTGCCTGACGGCGCATTGCGATCTGCTGACCGTGTGGAAGTACTTACGATGACTCGAAACTCCACCAGGACGGAGATAACACTCAACATGTAACAGCTCGCACAACTGGCGTGGCGTTTCTCTGAAGGGTGAAGCTACTCTACGAGGGTCTTCCATAAATTTCCCTTGACTTGGGCCTGGATCTGTCGTGCTGCACGAAAACGGGCCTTAGCGGACCCACCTCATCAGAGTCACCACCATATCCGAGGACGAGGCCTCTGATGTTTCTCCATTTTCTCCCCTCTCTCATCGCTAAGGAAGAAGCCAACCATCCGGCCAAGCTCTCTGCCGAGGGTGTCTTGTCGGAAAGCCGGCGGGAGACGTACCGCGACGCATGGGCTGCTCTGCTGGACCAACTCGACCGGCTGTGCCCTTGTGGCCGTGCCGCCATGGCCACGTTGTCCAGGGCGAGGCGGGTAAAGACGTCGCCTGTGTGTCAGCTACACTGCTGGATGTATCATGCCTTAATGACTATGCAACACTTGGACCGCTCAGTCTTGCGAATGCCACAGTGACAGCACAGTGCAGGCCTAGGCTGAACTGCCTTTCCAGCACAGGCTCCCAGAGTTGCGACGTTGCTTCTGGAGACCGGACACCGTGGTCGCAGAGGCTCTGCAAAGATGCCAAGCAGGGCCGGAATATGGCCGTGGCCGCTCCCAGCTGAAGCTCGGAAGAGGCCGCGCCATGGGCTGCCAGCACTTCGTGTGCCTCCAGCACATGCGACAAACTGCCGGGCGCTTCCTCAGCTCGAACGTTCCGTCGCTGTGCTTCGTCTACCAAGTCTTTTTTGCATTGGCTTCTGAGTTGTGCAAGGAGAGGCATCAGTGCCTTCGAGTGCTCCGCGCCTTCGGAGGCACCGGTTGCGGCCAAGAGCGCCACAGTACTGACGGATGACGCCATCCTGGCTAGCAGCTTGCAAGCCAGGGTCCATTGCGATGAAAGCTCGGATGCATCCAGCATCGAATTCCACGCAATCTCGTCAGGCTGCACTTGCCAGGAGCTCATGTCGTCAAGCAAATGGACTGCCGGTTTCCATTCCTGTTGAGCGGCTGCTGCAGTGATTGCTGCGCTGCTGGAGACTACGGTTGGCTGGATCTTTAAGCGGTGCAGCTCTCGAAAAACTGACATTGCTGAAAGCCAGGCATGCCCCTTCTCACATGCAGTGATTGCACTGTTGACCAGATTCCTCGACGGCTGCACGGCAGAGCAGCCCAAGCTGTGAAGTGCTCCCAGGGCCTGTTGCCACTGCTGTCCTTTGCCCAAAGCGCTGGTCAAAGCTAGGTATGTGATCGCATCCGCTTGCAGTCGACCCGTCTGCATACCGTTCACGAGGTCAAAAAGTGGCTGAACTTGGACTGCGCGTTCGCATGCTAATGCTGCTGCATTGCACGCGGCCACGCTGACCCTGACGAGCCGATGATGCATATCTTGCAAACAAGACATGGCGTGCTCCCACTTGAAGGCCACAGCGCATGCGCTCATGACGGCAGTGTATGCCGCCATGTCCGGCTCTGGAAGGGAGAGAGAGCGGCTAAGGCTCATCCTGTTCAGCAGCTGCAACGCTTGCACCCAAAGCCCGGCCCGAGCAAAGGAATCCAGCAGCGCCCCACACGCAGCCACATCTGGTCGCGGACCCCAGTAGCACATCCCGGAAAATGCCTGGAGTGCTGCTTGCCAGCGGCACGCCCTGCCACATGCACTCAGTAAGGAAGAGCAGGCTTCCAACTTCGGAAAGTCCACAATGAAGCTCCGCCCTCTCCTGATGTCTGTACACTGCATGATACTGCATGCATGCTGAACAGACTCACCCCCGTTTCCCAGTCCTAGGCTCCTAGGGAGACCTGGAGTGTGTTATCAGTCTTATCACGTGACGGCAGGCACAGGAGGGGTGAGGCAAACCCACATCAGACTCCAACAAACTTCGTCAGATTCCTGTGTTTCTGTCGGCTTCCCTGCTCCAATTCAGAGTTCAGAGTTGAATGTTGTGAGTTTGCACCATGTTCCAAGTCACGAGATGCGAGTTACAGATGTCAACCCCACATCCAAGTAAAATTGAGCGATTCAATTAAAATGCTCAGTTCATAGATGCTGGCATTCGTGAGGGATCGTAGTGGTGAGGCTCTTAACATCCGGAGATAGAGTCCCTCCCATACGAGAAGTTTCAAGTTGTCGCCAATCGTGGAGGAGCCTTTCTTCCACCGCCCAGCTGACCAAGTCGCACAACAGCGAACACTCTAGAGACTCTAGAATCAGGTGAGGGTGCGAGTCTTTTGGGTGTACGGGTTGCTCGTCAGGCCCGAGACGACTCGTGATCCGCTTTCGATGGCCGGTTGGCAAGCTGAAGCGGTATGAGTAGATGCTGCCGCTCGCACTCGCTCACCACCCCTCCCACCTGACACGCTACCTCCGCATCTTCGGCATGCCAACAAGCTGGCTGCGGCAGCACTCTCAGAAAGACCCGTGTTGCGAATCCGGATGGGGCTGGTGTAGTTTACTTCCGGTGTTCAAGGATTTTCGAGTTTGGCGACGGGCTGAGAGGTGATGACAACCTTGTCGCATGTGGCGACTTCTGCTGCTGCTGCTGCTGCTGGTCAGCGCAATTGAACAGCGCGAGGAAGTTATTCCATGAGAATCATGAAGATCGTCGTCACACCTTGAAATCATCGACTGTCAAAGTTGCTTGCATTTCTGTGCTTGCAAAATGGAATCTAACTTAATAATACCAGAGAATGACTTCGTCACGATCACGCAATGCATGCCCAGGGGAGAATCTTACTACTGCTGCTGCTGCTGCTGCTGCTGCTCAACGCAATCATGCGCGGGTTTTGCGGTTTGCGCATTTCAGCCGCATTTCCATAAAGCTCTTCTTCTGCCGACCCCATCGTCGCCGGAGAAGCTCCAAAGACATGTCAGGCGGCCAAAGGATGGAAAGTGGGGGAGATGGACCTGAGTCCGCAAAGAGCAACCTCTACAGCTGCCGTGGAAGGCCGATTGTGCCAGAAGAAGACGGGGGGGGGGGGGAAGGTGTTCAGACAATCAAAATCACAAGACCCAATCCTGAGGGGCAGAGTATGGCACGGTCAAGGGACAGGAGCAGGGAGGTGTCATCCGAACAATTGAATTGTCGAAGAACGCTCCCAAGAAGATTTCCTGCAGGGCTGGTCAAGGCGCAGAAATTGGCAGCAGGAGCAGAGAGAGCAGGTGGTGCTCCACGTGCCAGCAAGAGGCAGGAAGCGGCAGGAGCCAAGTCGCAAACAGGCAGGACAGCAGGGCGACATGAGGGACCGGAGAGGCGATGCATGTGGGCAGTGCATTTCAGCTCGAAGTGGCAAAGAGCGGCAGGATAGAAAGGGCCCGTCAAGTTCCAAGGAACTCCAGTTGGCTCACAAGGGAGATGAGGACTGTGCACATGAGCTTGTTTGTTATGGATTTCTGACTCCATTGCCACTTCCTCCTCTTTGTAAGGACGAATTCAGGGTTTCTAAAAAAGGCCTCCTGCCGATTTTAGGGCTCAGCTTTCCATCAACGCCGCAATGGACGGAGAGTTGGGGATGTTGCGGGACAATGCAAGGAGCAGGAGCTCTGTCCTCAGCAGGTGCAGCGCCAAATGCCACTGACTGGCATCTGCGTCGCTGGTGCCGGCACCTTTGCGGATGTCGACATGCACTTGCACGGAGAAACGCAGAACAGGTGGGCCAGGAAGGCAAACGGCTTCAGTCGGAGCATCCGTCAGTACCGCGCTTCGAATCTCTATGGTTTCGCTTGCACAGGGCCTAAGTCCTCGGCATGCGGCGATGGAAGCATTGAAGGATATAGCACCCGGCTCCAACTCTTGCGACTTGAAATCCTGATCGCAACACGAGTGCTAAATGTCGGAGCTTCGGTCACCTCCGAGCCTCCAGAAGCTGTAAGGCTGCTAGCCATTCACTGCTGCGCCCGAGGGCTGTGATAACCTGTGCCAACATACTCTGCGTCGAGATCATCGGAAGATCTGCGCTTCTCTTAGGCCACGGCAGTGTTGAATGAAATTCGATCTGGCTGCGGGCCACTTTCCACAGCCTGTCATGGCAAGCAGCAAGCGCGTGCATGTGGTAGCTGCAACTTCGTGATAACAGTGAAACATCACGGTCAGCATGTTTTCCAAGAGGTGGCACCAAAGTGCGACACCTGCAGTCACGGCTGACCCTGCGCGGAGTTCTTAATCTAATGGCAAGTTGGGGCGGAACATGGCGGAACTCGGTGCCCCGCAGCGACTAGGACGGCGAATCTACATCTTTTCCAGCAAAACCGCACCCTCGGCCTCAAAAAGTATGGAGGCTGCCAGCTGCCAGTTGCTTCCGCGCTCCAAGGCGCTCATCGCTGCGTTGCCTGCGCACAGGGCTGAGCATTCACCGGCCTGGACATCAACAAACCTCCAGGCCAAGCAAGCAAAGCTGGATGTGAATAATCCTGGCAGCTCTCCAAAGGTGCCCCAAAAGGCCTGTGAAGGTGTTCGCCTGCAGTCCTGGTTCTCAACATCGACCCTTGGGAAGAGTTAGGGGATGAGATGCTCCGAGCATGTGGGCACACGCAGAAGCGAAACCCGCCCAGCGCTGGACACATGCAAGCTCCGAACTCAGAGCAGCTCTCCACGCAACTGAATCACAACTGCATGACTGAGGCTGGGATTCATGGCGCAGGTGGGAGGCGACAGCCTGTTGACCTAAACATTATCAGTTCTGAAACAGCACGAGCAAAGCTTCTTTGTTATAAGTTATAAACGATTTCTGCTGGCAGTGCCAGCAGCTTAACTTAGATTTCATGTTCAAGACACGCCGCCAATCATGTCCAGACTCCCAGCGACTGCGTTTCCGCATTCTAGTCGTGCCCTCGTAGCTTCCATAGTGTCGAGCTTGCAGGAGATGTCAAGATGACTTCAGTCACTAGAGCTGGGCTATCATGCCATGTAGTGCTTCGAGGATCAAGAGGCTGAATGAAAGAGGTGTAGTCGTCTTCGCATGTCTAGATGACTCACTTCCAGTCTCTCTCCTGCCTGCCCACACCTCAAACCCCCGAAGGTCTAGGAACCCAGGGAGGTCAGGGGGGCCCGAAGCTCTCAAAGCTTGAACCCTCCCTTCCCCCCCGCCCACGTAGAGGTCCTTGTTGACCTCCTTGAGCGAGGATCTGCAGGGCCGAGCTCCACTGAAGCCCTCGCTTGCTTCTCATTTTGCGGAAAGGAGAACCGCGAAGAGGTTTCTACAATGTTTTGGGTCATCCTCGCCCCAATTGTGATCATGACTGTTAGTATCGCATGTCGTTGTCATCGACATCGGCATCACCATCACAGTAATGTCACCGCCACCCACGCAGCCTGCCAGCATCTGACATATTTGACGGCTTAGGGCCATGGTCTGCTTTGGACTGCGGTCGCAGAATTCGCGCTGTTCTTCAAGCTCGAACTCCGCTAAGTCGGGATTTATGACTCAAGATAAGTAAACGCCAACAACGGCGACCGCATCCGGTGGCCAGCACACGAGCTTCCTGCGCTTTGCTCAGGGATTTCAGCTGTAGAATCCCATGTTGCTCTTCGGGAACAGGTTACTCCTCGCATAGACCGCTCCCCAAGGCAGCCCAGCTTGAAGGGTTCGCGGGGACCGCGGCATCTGCAAAGCTTTAAGCCTCTCCTAGTCCAATGGCCTCGGCTGCTGGAGGTGGCGGCTGTGCAGAGGGTCACCATGTCTGGTTGCAGCTGAAAGGAAGGCAGGGAAGCAAAGAGCTGCATGCTTCCCGCCGCCTGCGAGCCCTGCCAGGAATCTTCGTCTGCACCCCTCCGATCCCTCTGGAACTATTACCCCACATGGTCCCAGCGATTCACAACACAAAACCAGCAGCAGCTGCACATGAAACACGCTCTCATTCATTCTTAACTCCTGACGGCTTCGGGCCTTGTCCAAGGCATGCAGCAGCGCATTGTATCTCAAAGCCAGGCATATGACAATCCGAAGCATTGCGAATCAAGACAGTATCTTTCCGCTTTGGATCTTTGCTGCTCAGCTGCGTGACGATGCCCGGCTGCAACTCTTGGCTGTGCAAGGCATGAAGCTTCGCCACCGCGGCCTGCACTTTTCGTTTGAGCTGCTCAAGGCACCCTGATTCGCGCTTGTGAATTCAATTTCTGGTGCTGCAGTTGTTCACATTTGCACTCTGCCTGCCAGCGTGCGGCCTTGCCGAGCGCTGCAATCTCCGACGTTCCCCGCCGCAGCTCCAAGATCGACATTGCACCGCTGTACCAATCGGACCCGAGCTGGGGCACTCAGACTCTGACTAGCATGCGAAAGAATGCCCTGATCTAAATGATTTCTCTGTGCTACGAGTATTTGGGGAGACAGGCAGGAAGATCAGCACGAGGGGCATTGGGGTTCTCGCTCCAGAAACGGGTGCGAGACCACACGCTCCACCGAGTTGCTTCGCCTGGAGATGAAGGTCTGGAAATTTCCAAAGCTCGCGAACAACGAGAATTGCTCGCCGGAATTGCCTGGCCTGCGGCGGATCTGCTCTGCTTGTGGGCGAGCGGGGCTTGGGACGAAAGCCCGGGGTCGGGGCAGCCGACGGAGGCCTTCGGCCAGCCTCAGGACCGGGACTCCCTGCTCTAAGTCTAGTGAACGTAACAGCGAAAACGCAGGCAGCGCCGGCACCAGTGCCAGTTCCAGCAATAGCAGCACTGCGAATACGCAGCGTAGCTTTGTTATGCTTTGTTGGTGCTCAACGATGCCTGGATTGCCTGTTTTGGGGCAAGCTGCTTTCCTGCAATGCCCCCTTCTGCAAGCCAAAGTGCCTGTGGCATTTCTGTTCCTTGTCAGTGGCTCCGGAGAACGTCTTGGACTCAACCATCGGAGGCGGCAACAGAGGTTTCAACACCTGGGCACCGGAGCAGATCACGAAAGACGCTCCAAACGCAACGTGTGCCTTCGATATTCTCGACTCATCTTGCCGATTAAGCTAGAGCCGGCCGAATCCGTTTCGTTCTCGTCTGTGCGCTTCAGAGTGTGGCCTGCCTCGGAGTCCCGCAACTCGACTTGGTGTCTGCGAGCTTCGAAACTCGCCAGGAGAGCAAGGCTGCACCTTCGGATAGAAAGCAGCAAAGGTGAAGTGGCTAAGACACGACAAGCATCTGCCTTGATCCAAAATGGAGGTGGTGGACCAACACCTCCCGCGTGGCTTGAGCTCTCAGACGGCGCAAACTGCGCATCAGGTTGCATCCACGTGGCCGGCACATCTCCCAGAGGCCCGAGGGCCGCCAGGCAAACAGACACCAGGATCCGCCGAGCACCGGAGAGTGCCTCAAACAGCATGGACGCATGGAGATGCCTGGAGCCATACTGGATTCGCCGTCAGAGCTGGCCTGCATCTCAAGCAGGACATTCTGCATGGCATCTTTCGAAGATACCTCGACGCAAAGCTGTTGCCGTGTCGCCGGATCCTGGGTCCTTCCAAGCAATTTCGAGGAGTTTTGCATACCTGCAGAGACATCGCGGCGACCTTCCGTCCAGCATCAGCGCTGGACCTGGCGGATGGTCTGACACTGATGCAGGACCCACATCCGATTGAAAAGGACTGCTACATGGCTGCAACTGATTCGACTGCTCACCGTGCCATGCGACGAAGACTTGTAGCGACCAGCACCATGCTGCGACCAGTCTTTGCAGTGCTGAAATAGTCTCCTGCGACGTTGCGGCAAACACTCTGGCAACTCTCGCCGGCTCTGCTGCCATCTGTGTCCAAGAGCAACCGCAGGCCAGCCTGGCTGCAACATGCACCAGGAATAATACTACCGCGGCGCAACCGCGACCTCGATGGGTTTTGGTATGGTTTTGGTCGTTGCCAGTACTGCACATTCTTTGGAGCATAAACAAAGCCGGTAACACAATGCTCACCTTTTTAACGGTGCTGCCGGAAGGGCCGGAACTGCCTTGTGAGCATGAACAAACAGCCCAAAACCAGCGCAGGGCGGACAGGTTTGTCGTGGACAGCGTGTGCAGCATCGTGCCTCGATGCAAGGCGTGCGCTGCGCAGACCAGAATGTTAAGATGAACTTCCTTCAAGCAAAGGCCCGAACACTTCCGAGGCTTCCAGCAGCTCTGTCACCTCGTGGTGGAGTGGAATGCATACCTTCGAAGGACCTGCTGCCGTTGCTTTGTGAACCAAGGAACACGCTGGGGTCCGGGCCCCTGGTCCTCCAGGGTATTGTGGAAGCACTTCCAGCGTTAGCCTTGCGTTCTGTGACATGCGTGCATTCTGCGTGTGACGTCAGTCCTGGTAAAACCCTGGAGAGGTAGAGCTTCATCCAAGCATCAGGCAGGCCCGCGGTGGGGTTGCAAAGCATGGAAGGGCAAAGGATGACACGAGCAAAGGCGGCGCCGCGGGATCCTGCAAGCGGATACAAGAGCCGCAGCAAGAGCTTCAAAGCTGGCATCGGACGTGGTAACTTCTTCAGTACCGAGTCCTGCTGCAGGTGCACGGCTGCCGGACTCAAAAGACAAGTGCACGTCAAAGGGTTGCCACAAAGTGGACCTCAGCACAACCACTGCACCCCTGACAGCATCGCCGGCTGAGTGCCTTCTCGGGCCAGCGCACATGTACCTTCCCGTGCGCCGTAAGCGTCAGGGCTCGATTGCAGGCTGTGCAACAGAATCGCAACCTCAGGGGCCAATTTTCTTTGCCAGCGATCAGAGAGCCGCATAGTACCGTTTAAGCTCCCAGGCTCAAGATTGAGATCCTCGGCAAGCACGACAGAACGTTGGTCATGGCCATCGAGGCCCAAATCTAATCCAAACTCAAATGTGCAGCCGGGAGGCTAACTCCAGCTCGCTTGGCGCGGCGAACTTGGCGCGAAGGATGTGTGGCCTTGGATGTTCTCTTACAACCGGGCCTGTTGAGACGAAGCTATCGAAGATTCAAAACGACCATGACGATGCCTTCTGTGCATTGAGCCCTTCACGGCACTCTACACTAAAGCCAGGTCTACAAGTGCAGGGTTTCGATGCATGCCGATGCAGTGCTTTTACTGTTCCAATTGTCCAGCGTGGGATGGCCAACCTGTTCTTACTGTACTTTTCTGTGTCCTGGCGACGATCTGGTGAAACTTGGAGCTTCCCGTGTGCGCCTCGCACTGCTGAGAAACCAAGACTCTACTTTCTACCCTTCCTTCCGTTGCAGGGGCTCGCCAGCAATCGCGTCTTCCAGACACGGCCGACGCTGCTTGAAGCTGCTCGAAGCATGCCGTGGGAGCCCTCCGGCAACCTTGCTTCTCGCGGTAACCCTCGGAAGCCTCGACGTAGCTTCGTGGCCAATAGAAGCCCTTGGGCTTGACTTCAGTCCATGCCGTCCTTCGTGATGCCACTCTTTCGCTTCTTGCTGGCCTTGGATAAAACCCGCGAAACCCACAAGGTCCGGAAGTCTTCGGAAGTCCAGCGAAACACCAAAGCCGAGGCCCGGGCATCCACCATCCTCAGCACACGCATACGCCACGACGCCACACCCCGACAGGTCTTTGCACCGGGCCGAGAAACTGCTGCCTTTTGTGGGATTTCTTGCGGTCGTATCCCGAAACCGTGCTGATTCGCTTGCGCTTCGGCTGTCGCCTCAGACATCGCAGGAGGTGCGAAGTTGCAGGGCAGTAGAAACCATAAGCTGTGCTGAATCTGCTAAGATTGCGGGCACTACCTGACAGGACTTGCCGCAAGCACAGATTTCTTATGACGGTGTTTTGACTGTCTGGTTGCCGCAAGGCTGCCATTCCGCCATCCGTCGCTCCTCTCAGCGTGCGTCAAAATTCGTGAAGTTCTGATCCCAAACGTCGCAAGTTCCAAACTGTCCTTCTTTGGCCTCGCTTTCAGGCGGAGCATCCATTCAGGAACTTCGCAGCCCGATTGGCGCATCACGCCTACGATACCTGGTCAGGAAAGACAAAAATTTGGATATTGCGGGCTTCCTGTTCCGTGTTTCGAGTCTTCCGCGTCCAAACACAGCGAGACACTTCGAAGTGACTCGAAGTCTTCGATGGTGAACATCGTTATGGCCTTGCCATTCCTCGCAGGGAGAGGCTCAGCAATCTTTTGGATGGCATGTCAGCTTTGACTACATGCTTTTGCGCCTGCCAGCGCGACCAGTGCGCCCGATCCTGGCAGCATGTAGACTCGCTATTTGGGCAAACGTAGGCTTAAGTTTTTCGTTGGAGGCCTGGCCCAGTGTCACGGCACTCGGTTCTCAAAGAATGCGCGAACGAAACACAGTCGATGACAGTCCGACTACTGAAACTTCCAGGCAATGCCTCGGCAGCTCATTTTATGTGCGTGGTATTCAGGCTGCCTATGGATGTAGGTGGCTGCCGACTGGGGGAAATCGTAGTTGATCACCTTGGCCATATGCAACAAAGTACAGTTCAACTTTATCTCGATTCGTCGTATCTCGAGATGGCTGTCCTCTCGTAAGCCACAAGAATAAAATATTCACTTGATGCCCGGAGCTTCGGACCCTGCTTGTGTACACCACGCAATACTTGCAACTATCCTTCCACATCAAAAATGCGCTTGCTTCGCTACTCAAGCTTCGGTGCCGCCAAGTAGCGGTCTCCACGCCTGGCCAACCCAAGCATATGCAAGGAGCTTAAGGCCGTGGGCGCGCGAGGAGCTTGCAACAAGCTGATTGAGCTGCCGTGCAGTTCAGTTGGTCCCAAGCCTTTGAAGTCCACACCCCTGGCCATGAGGTCCGTGCAGATGAGGACCCAGAGCTTCCCAGCTCGAAAGGCTTTGACCTTCACAGATACAGTAAGCACTTCCAGAGCATCGTTAAACTGGACTCATCATCGACATGCTGTGGGCTCGGCCGTGTTGTCTCTTTGAAGCTTGGTCCGGTCTGCATGAATTACATCGACAAAGATTCCATCCTCAGTTGGTGTCGCGATCTGGCATCACTCCAAAAGCTCCTCCAACATCATGATGCAATAGGTCCGGTACCAAACTACTGACACCCAAAGCAACCTCTTGCCAGGTGAATGCAGAGGTGTGTCGTAGACCAGCTCACCAAACAGTTCTTTTGCACGCTCCTGCTGCATTGACGGAGTGTCTGCAAGCCAGATCTAGTCCCAAGGCTTCAAGGGGCTGTCGGCCGACGTCTGCTTCAAGCTGCCCCTGGGAAACAAACCCCGAGACGATTGCAACCAAACGGAAGTCCTTCGACTGAACGAATACCAAAGCAGGCGGCTTGATCTCGCCATCTTGCAAAAGCTGCCGAAAGCCTCGGCAGCCCTCAGCCCTCGCATGCAACCAGACTCTGCAGTTTTCACCTCAGCATGTTACAGTTGCCGGGTTTTGGCTGAAGCCTTGTGCTGGACATGCGGTTTGCGCATGCTTCGCCCAAATCCAGCTTCAGTCACTAAGTCAATGCCAGCTCCAACCGTAAACCCTGTCATCTCTGTTGCATCGGACTTTCGCTGTAATCTAAACCCTGAGCCCAGCCAAGTTCTCAAAGAACTCCTCGGCCACGATCGCTCCGCACTGCCTACCAAATCGCCTGTAGAGCTTTGTAGATTGATTTCAACTCAACCTTTCTAGATGGCTTCCTCAACCTCCCCCTCCCGCAAAAAGTTGCCAAGAGGCTGAAGAGCTTTCCATCCTCGCTAGTGATGAACAGAAGCTTCCTTGGTCTCTCTCTGTTGGCACATGTGAAACCTGGGTGTAGGTAGGATCGCGTGGTTGCCGGGAATGCGTCAAGAGACATCTGCAGCAGACCTGGTAATGAGTCTTGGTGTGGGCTTCGAGTGATCTAGAAACCATGAACTTAAAACTTCGAACTTCGATCAGAGTCTGTTCCACATCGGGAGCAGCCGCATTCACGTCCCCAATGCTGATCCGCAGTGGAGAAGTCAGGATGGAGCCAGCAAGGTCCACTACGACAGGGGGAAGAGTCGCTGAAAACATCATAGTTTGCATCAGTCTGCCTTTCTCTTTGGGGCAGAAAGTCAATAGCTCGTCCACCTGTGGCGCGAAACCCAAATCTAGTAGCTTGTCAGCTTCATCAAAGACCAGATGCTTCGTCGAGTCTAGTGAAATGCGATTGTCGCGCAGAAGCTGGACCAGCCGAAGCGGTGTCGCCACTGCGACGTCTAGGCGCTTGATATTGCTCTTGTCGGAAAGCTTATCCACCAGTCGTCCGTTCCATTTGCGACCGGATGTTAGCTTCGCGAATTCGTCCAGCGTCTGCTTTGCCAGCTCTCGCGAAGGATCGACCACCAAGGCACGTGCGAACTCCTTTCCAGGCTTCGCCAGAAGAGCTAAGATGGGGCCTAAGAAGGCGATGGTCTTTCCACTCCCAGTTGGGGCGGAAGCGAGGACATGACTTCCCGACATGATGGCCGGGAAGCACTGCATCTGAATCGGAGTTGGCTGGGAGAAGCCCAAAGAAGTCAGATTGCGGACCAGCCATGGTGGAACCCCCCTGCAAGCTGTATTTCAGACCAGGCAATTTAAGCAATTCCAGTCTACTACACTTCTTACTACAGTTTACAGGCCAATTGATCCTCCTCTACTATTTTCGGGGCTCCTGCTGGCCATGTCGTCGAAGGACTCCACGAGATCAGGCGTGCCAGGACTGATGTGGATTCGATGCCGGCGACGCAAGGCTGCCACGGCCTCTTGCTTCTGCTGCAGTGCACGCTTGTCCAAAGCCTCCTCCTGTTCTTTGGCCTCTCCTTTTGGCCAGCTTCCAGGCCTCTTATATCCTGGCAGAATTGGCCACGGACTCGGCGGCAGTTGTGGATGGGTGTGCTAGGCATGTCTTTGTCCCATTACATCAAATGCCATAAGCAACCCTGTCGGCGGGTGGCGTATTCGGAAAGTGCCACGCCTGCAGCACGAAACAGGGCATACAATTCTAGTTTTGGACATGCTAGCCGCGCATGCTGCCTTGCGCGGCTCAGCCAATGAAATATGACATGACAGAATAATTTGACCATCCTGGTATATGAAGTCTAGTCGCGTCAAGGTCTCGTCGAGTCTGTAGTTGTAGGGCTTTTGGCTTTGCAGTGCTAGGGTGTTGATGTCGTGTTGGTTCGGCATGTTGTGCAACAGGGCAAAGGCACTCAAATAAGCGTGTTCTGCTTAGCACGTTCATCTTTCTTTCTCCTGTTCGTTGTTGGTTCCTGTTTTTCGGGTCTTTCTGTTGTGCTCAATTGAAGTCTCTTTTGCATGTCTCTCGATCTGTTTGTCTTTGCTAGGTCATGTTATTCTTTCCGTTCTTCTTTCCATTAACCTGCTCTGTATCCCGTTCTTTCTTTTTGTTGGAGGAGGGAAGCAATTCCCGTTCATGTGGTGACCGTGCCCAAACCCCTGGCTTTTACTTCGTACAGCATACTAAAGGTTCTGGGTTTCAGGGCTTGGGTTCAGAACGGTCGGCAGGAACGTCAGTACTCCTCCCCCCTGCTAGTCCGAGGGTAGAAACGAAGCAAAGCAGCACACAGAGCAAACCATTACGGATCCATCCCATAAAACCATGTAAACCACATACATATGTGTATATATACATATATATATATATATGTGTGTGTGTGTATGTATGTGTATGTGTATATATATATATATGTGCGCGTGTGTGTGTGTGCGCGCGTGTGTGTGTGTGTGTCTGTGTGCGTATAGATGTGTATATACAGATATGTGCAGATATATGTATATAACATATGAGCGTCCGTCAAAACTTCTTATTCATGCCCAGACCATGGATGATCTGGGGGGGGGGTCCTATCGCTTTACAAGGATTTCGTCACATCTTTCTGTGAGGTATCGCTTTGCTCTTTGAAAGTAAGAAGACCATCAGACTCACTGATCATAGCTTGCCCTGCCCTTTGCTGCCCTTTACTGCCCTTTACCTGCCCTGTACTGCCCTTTACAGCCCTGCACTGCCCTTGACCTGTCCTTTACTGCCCTCTGCTGCCTTTTATTGCTCTTTACTGCCCTTCACTGCCCTTTCCTGTCCGCTTCTGTCCTTTACTGCCCTTTATCTGCCACTATACTGCCTTTTTTCCATCAGAATGGGCAGTGGGTCACGAAACGAACCAGCAGGTATCGATTGGGGCATCGATTGGGTATCGATGAGCGTATCGACTGCCTAGCCACATATCACTTCATATCACACGGAAAATTAAGGCATGCATGCCGCGGCAGCACTGAAATGTCACAACAGATGATCCTTGCTGATCGTATCGCTCTTGGGGGGGTCCTATCGCTTTCCAAGGATATTGGCAAGATCCGGCATTCCACGGTCACCCTACTCTTAACTACAATTACGGAAGTTTTGACGGCTCATATACACACACGCACACAGATAACAATCACACACACACACACACATCCCCAGGCACGTGTACATGCACAGACACGAGCTCGTGCACCTAGACTCACACGTACAGGCACAACACACACACACACACTGTCTCTAGCTATCTGTGTGTGTATATATATACACACATATTTTACATATTGTATGATACATACATACTGCAAAAGCGTACCCTTCTCCAGAAAGTTGCGGGCCTTGCCCATTGGCCTTGGCGCCTTTAGCGACCTTGGCCTCCTTCGGTTCTGCTTGGTCCTGCAAGCTGCTAAAGGCTTCCTTGCAGGGCTTCCTGAGGGATCTAAGGGGGTTCTTCATAGAGCAGGTGCATTGGGGTTTGGACTCTCCAACTCGGACAGTGAAGGCTTTACTGTCGGGTTTTTGATGCTTACTCTGGAACTTTGCGAATGAGCATTCAGCACATCTTGTCATTGATGAGCACTCGCGAGACCCAAGACTCTAAAAAAAATTATCCAACGTTAGAGGGGACGAGGTGTCTCCACGAGAAGGTAAGACTAAACCCCATCGCAACTGAGACGACGTGTATCCCTCTACGAATTGCAATGCCAAGAAGCAACATGTGGCATGGTTGACATAACTCCCACACTGCCGTTTCGTCGTGCGGAACTATTCATGGCTGTAAACTCTCACAACTCGGACAAGACAGGCGAGAATCCACAGGTGGAAGTCGGCGTGACACAAACTGCTACCCATGCCCGAGACTATGCAGATGGCTTAAGGTTTTGCACATCACACAGTGTGCCTGCATCATGCCCTCTGGTCATATAATAAAACTTGAGCGATAAGACAAAACTTGCTGCCACGACAAGTTCTTCCGGAGTCTGTGCTGCCCGAGTCCTTTGCGGCAGTATCTCCGTGGTCGAGGCCAAAATAGTCCAGGACCGTGCTTGACCGCGTGCTTAGCGAAGGCCTGGACCAGAGTTTCATCGAAGAAGCAGTCTTTCTCAAGAGTGCCACGCGCGAAAAGTCACTGTGCATAGTCTAGTCTAGCAGGCAGCCTGCACGAGGACGTGTCATGAAGTTTTGTCCCTGTTCTCCAGCCGGCTCCGGCTTTCAAATCTCCAGCCGTGGAGAGAATGAGACACCCAATGTCATGCTTGAAGCCTACGAGCCCTTCGGAGAAAAGCTGGGCATCAGAAGCCCATGCTACACGAAGATTCCGACGACATCCGTCACAAGATCTCCCCCTCCGACAACCACCCCCACTCAAACTCCACGTTGAAAGGCGCACCCCATCTTCTTGGCTCCGACGCAGGTACAACTGTTACAATAGACAGCATGGATTGTTGGACCACTGACTATTCCGACGACTCGGCCCTACGGGCCCTACACTTTGAGCAAACCTTTGCTTCTGCAGAAGGCCACGGCGCGGACCTGGTTTGATGTGTCAACCTAGGCCTCAAGGCCTCCCACTTACGCCATCTCAACGATGCTCAGCTTCGATTGTCTAGCAGATTTCAGCAATTTTCACCGGCTGGGTGTTGACTTAATTTCCACAGTTGGCAGGCACACCGTTGCACTGTAGACCCGAGGCCGACTGCGCCCACACTGTACATGCAGTGCTTCAAGCTCTGACGAAGCTGACAACACCCCCAGTGGTCCCCCGTCCTGATGGCGGGATCTGGCGCCTTCCTCTTGCCAAATGCCACCTCCTTCGACTTCTTCGTGCCGCCGAACGTACAGCCTGTGGAATGTGATCCGAACCGTTCTTTCAAGCTAGTTCACGCCACACTGTCCATGTCCGTAACAGTGCAAACGGCAGCCTTTGCGCAAGACATCGAAGAAGTCCATCCAGTCAGCAGGACCCCTCACCGACTTCTGCTTGAATGTCGGAGTCTTTTCTTCGCATTTTCCGTGGCGGACGCAGCGGTGCCATTTCGGCTTGAGCCCAAGGATGCCGCAGAACACTTTCAGAACGCATCCTTAACCGGCTATTCATACGATACGTCTTCGTGGGCCCTTATACTTGCCTCTCCACTATGGTGCCCTGCAGCTTCCCATGTAGCTAAAGCAAAAACAACTGTGAAGGTCATGAAGGTGCCTGAAGGTGCTAGAGTACTCGCGCATCAAAACTTCGGCACATGACTGTGCAACACTGTGAAAAAGCCACATGGGATTTCATTTTCTTCCCCCCCCCCCAAATAACCACAGCATCCTCGCACAGGACACTGCTCGGGCTCGGCGACTCGCACTTCTGCCACACGGCTTGAGCAATAGGTCTCAAGCTGAGGGCCTTCCAAGCTTGGGCCACAGTTTTTGCGGGCGACTGTGGCTGCTGTCACGGCCGTGTACGCCGGGTCACTATGCTGGGTGCTGCAAACGATTTAGAGTTTGGAGGCTATGAGGCAATTGCAAGGAGCCCCCGAGTAGAACATAAGAGACTTCGACACGGACAGTGACAGGAGTCGACACCGGAGGCAGTAGCTAAGTAGCTAGGAGATGCCAAGAGTAGCGTTCAGGAAATGGAGATATTGCAAAGCAGGTGCTCATCGTCTCATGGAGGAATCCCTGTATCACCCGGAAGAGTAAACTTCCCGCTCAGCCACTGGCGGGTTCTGCCGGCCAAGCTCTGAGACCTCGCGGCATGGGCAAGGGAGACCTACCACCGCCACTTCGACGCTCGCCGAGTTCCTGCAGCACAGAAAATGAGATCCTACGTGACCATGAGATTCGGCCGTCGGCAACACTTGCAATGCAAATTCAATTCTGGAATCCTGCGCCCTAGGCACACTGCGTGGGATCACTGCAGCAGGCTCTTCACAGCATGCTTGATACCGGATCTCAGACCGTCCTCTGCGGCCTTGAACATGCGTGACAGCCATTCGGCGATCATTTGGCGATGACGACCCGAAGGATAGGTGGCAGGCAACCAGTGTCACCCAACATCACTCAGCATCATCGCTATCAATATCGTCACCGCCATCAATCACAGCCCGCCATCGCCAAGGCCGTCAGCAGCACGCCATCTCCCTTGCCCGGGTGATGGTCGTCGTCGCCGCCAACGAATGCCACAACACTTCATCTCCCACCACCGACGTTGTCGTCACACGGCGAATTGCTCAGAAGATACATCTAGGCCCGTCTAGGCCTCAGACTGGCGACCAAGCGGCTGCAACGCCCTGCCGGCTCTTCGGGCTTGCCTCGATAAGCGTTCCGACCCGCCCTACCGAACATCCCAAGCTGAACAGATCTACGCAAGGCATCCGGTCAAGACCTGACACCCTTGTCGGCATCGTTTTGCCCCGCCGGTCCACCACATTGGAACCCAAAACAATTCTACCTGCCGAGAAAAATCGTCTAAGTTATCCAGGATGCTATTTTCCTGCAAGGAGGCAAGTTATCTTCGCATATGAATGAATGATACATGCGCGGAGACAAACATCCCTTCATAGTATGCAACACGTCCACGGACATTTATGCCAACGCAGGCAGGCAGACCTATGCCAATGCACATGGGGGTGGCGCAGGCTTGTCGCTAGTCTATCTTCCTCTTCTCCGTAATCTGGCTGATCGGCTGATCAGCTGATCAGGTTGAGGTTGAAATCATTACGGTTGGTGCTATCATTGAAACTATGGTCACTACCGTCGTGCACATTGCTCGTACTCATGATCGTAACATTAAAAACCTTGTTCCATCTCTGCTCTGCCATCATCTGTCCTGCTATTTTCCGAGGCTCCTTGCGCTTTTTTTGCGCGGCCGCAGATTGCAAACTGTTTCTGGGGTCTCTTGTTCAACAAACGTTTGGGCCACAGCGCCGCTAAGTCTGCAGCATCGGCAGGTCTGGTTCATCCGGTTGGGATGTTGGTAGCAATCCTGTTTATGTTGATGCTGCACTACTCCCGTCAACGATCCTTTGGGGCATCTGTGGACTTGTGAAAAGCTTCTCTGGATGGCTTCAAGCTGCAAGGAGCTGCCACGCCCACGCTGGGACAGTACAGCAGTTGGAGACAAGGCTTTGCGTTCTTCGGCGTTTGTCGCTCTGCGCTTCGCATGACCTATCACTATCCGAGCACAGTCCGGAGCAGCATCGGTTGCGTGTCTGTGGAGCATGTTCCAGCCCCTTGCAGCATACTTTGTGTGGGCCATCACTCACGAGAATTGAGCGGCTAGCAGGTGCAGTGCAGGGCACCGGCAAATGAGCAGGACAAGATTCTTCTTGCACGACACACGATGTACCGACTTGATCTGACTAGGGTCTTCGTCTCGGCTGCACACGCACCAGTGCAGCCGTTGGATTCGATTCTTCTTTCGGCACCGCTTCGCAGCACTTCGAATCTTAGACAGAATCGCTTGGCCTCAGGGAAGTGGCCCGTCATCTTCGAGCTCCTTAGGCGCACGGCCAAGTCTCGTCGACTCGTGGCAGTTAAGGCATGATTAAAGTCATGAACACGCTGACCTAAGGCAAGCGAGGATGCCCGGATGCCCGATTCATCGACTGCTTGCGGCCTCCTGTCTTGCAGGAGTTACATGTCTCGTGCTGCCAGCTGAGCGAGCCTTGCCTGGACAAAGCATCAAGGATATAAAATGGTCATGGGAACATTACAGTATGACAGTGCGCGCGGAAGCTCGGACAGCTAATTGATTTCGGCCACTTATGCGACAGTTGGTTTATGCCACTTGCCCAAGACCCATTGTTGACCAATGTTGCGCAAGGGGTTACAACCAAGCTCCGCAACTGAACTTGCCACATTACGCCTGCATACTGTTTATGGTTTTGGTTTGGAGGGCTAGGACCAACCGTCTCTGTAATGCTCACAGGCACGAAGCGAACTTGAACTACTCGGCTGCATACCGGGTCTCCAACCCGAACGTCCACCGTCTTGACATCCCTTCAATTTTGACGGCCCTTCCTTTTGTTTGTGCTCTCACTGTTGCTGCGATGATTCTGCTGCTTGCCAGGGTTGGTGATCATGCCTGTTCCTTCGAGGATTTACCTAGAAGTGGTAAGATCAGGCAAGCAATACATTAGATTGGTTCAAACGAACAGCTGGGCAGCTACTAATCATAACACCACTTTCCTTCGCGGCCATTCTTCGATAAATTTGACCAGGCAGCTGTTTGCAAAGATTGATGCAACGGGTGAGGACGGGCATCTCCAAGAATCCTAAAACTTTTGGGGAAAGTCTGTCTCACAGTCAGCTCATTGTGAGGTAGACTTTGGGTTGCTCAGCCCAGAGTGGGGGGGTTGCCCTTGCGTGCAGAGGGCAAGTGGGCTTTTTTGCATCTGGTTTGCAGCTACTCAACGCAGTGGGCTGGATCCTCAAACCCGCGCCCCGTGAATGCAAAAGAGGCTCTCTAACCCACGACCTCTGCATCCTGGGTGCCAGCACCTAAGGGGCTGCTTCGCTCTTCCAGGATGTTGATGGAAAACAAATCAAAGTGCCGCATGCGCCTGCTCCCTCTGCCTGCAGCTCCATGAGCTTCGTGACTCGCCTGGCAAAGTCACCTTCACGAGGCAGAGGCGAATTCGCCAAAGACTTGGCTCCCTTGAACTCCCAAAGTGCCTGGGTCTTCGATGGTGTAGCCCCCAATCAAGGCTGCCGTCTCGTAGATCATCATCACCTCGTGCACTGGGTTGACTGCAAAAACTCTCGGGTCGGCTGCCTCACCCCTCACTGCCCTGTCAAGTCCCGGATGCCATGTCTTCTGTTTCGACGGAATCAGGCTTGGTCTCGTAGGCATTCTTTAGGGCCTGCTCCCAGGCAGATGGAGGCTGAAAGAAATAGAATGGCAAAGGCTCTGCCTTCACCACATTGTGCGAAGGGTTGATCTCCAAAATGGCCTGGCGGTCAGGCGGCTGCTTTTGCCGTCCCTGACGGGTGCAACAAAATTTACATGCAGACCAGGCCTGATTCCTCGAGCCAATGGCGAAGGCGCTGTCAGAAGCGCTGGATGTGGTCTGAGACTTCATGTAGCGCTGCATCATTGGAGACATGCCCCATTCCTGGGATAGAGCACCAGTCTTCCGATAAGAAGATGCCCACGGGAATCGGAAGCGAGCTTCCATCAATCATCGGACATGGAATCATGACGAGCACTTAACACCGACTCTCACGGCCAGTGGGACCATAGAACCGAGTAGCACCCTGCACCAGTGTGGCCGGGGACTCCACGAGGCGATCAGATATTTGCACCTTCTGCACTCGCTCGCCTCGACAGGCGGGCTGAGGAAAGGGGATCCTTGCTGGCAGCATGGTTTCAGCATCATTTCTGCCGAGGGGCCGAGCTGCTTCTTCAACCAGGTCGCCAAGTCTTCAAACTCCTCCATGCCATTCTTTCAAGCTTTACCAAGTTTGGGCCCCCTAGCTGCCCCAGCTCACGCTGCAGCTAGCGGCTCCTTGGTGGTCTCTTCCATCTCCTGGCTGTGACTTCAGCTCTGGGTAGCTCCAAGCTCTATCGCCATGCAGTTACGTCGTGCGTTGTCTGAAACCCTTGCGGTCGACTCTCACTCTCGCACAAGGCGAAAAGTTTAGACTTGCAGCTTACGGGCTCTAGACTCTGGACGAGCTGTCGGACTTCTGTGCCAAGAGGGGAGGGAGTTTTTGAGTCTTCCTCCGCTGTCCGCACGACCTGGCCTGAGGGAGTCAACTGTTGCCACCGCATGCATGATCCCGAGCATAACGATAACTGCGACCGACCGGCTATGCTCGAGTGTCTGGATTTGTCTGGCTTACTCACCGCGACTGTGCCCAGTGCACAGCAACGATGACCCCAGTGAGGGGCTCCAATTTGCGTGGGTTCGCACGCCCCCCTGCTCCAGAGTTGTTCCCCCTGCGCCTCGTGTTTGGCGTAGGTGCTCCACGTAGTCCGCCCCCGCCGATGTCGTGGGCCAATGCCCCGAGTTATGGGCTCTCTCTCTCTCGCTCTCTCTCCCTGTCTCGCTGTCCCTCTCTTCTTCTCCCACATCAGCGGGCCACTTGATGGGTGTGAGAACATAAGATGGCTTATTGATTGAAGCGGCCAGGTTACTTGAATATCGAAATTTTGCTTTCAGATATCCTCCATCTTGCTAAGGACACACTCACATTCACGGAGCCTCTTCCCCGGATTCAAGGATTCTCTTTCTTTCACAGGCGCTCTGCTCTTCCACGCAGCCAAAAGAGAAGGCAGCAGCCAACGCTCTCCGCGCGCCTCTCTCGCTTGCTTGCTTGCTTGCTAGCATGGGGTCTAGGGGCTGCGAACAACCCCCTGACCCGAAGGCCTACTCCGCGCGGCGCGCGACGCCTATATAGTGTCTGTTCGACCCCTTCCGGGGCTGTGTGTGCGTTCCCCCAACTGCGTCCACCCCAAAAACATTAGCCTGGACAGAACTTCAGCAGGCTCCACTCCGGTCTGCCGCAACACACGGAAAAAGCAGGAGGCGGCCTCAAAGCAACACTACACAAACTGCATCCAAACCAACGTACGTACCACACACGCTTATGACATCCGCATCCCCTGCTGGTCCGGAGCTCCACTCCCCCAGCTCACGAGTGAAACAGATCTTCTAAGCAACCCCACCTTGCCTGCCTCCCCACCTGAATCCGAACAGAACCTCGCGCAGGACTGCCTGTACCTTCCCACACCACCCCCGAAATCTTTAATTTAATGCTGCGCTAGGCAAGTAAAGCACAAACGACCACTTAAGCCTAACGGTACAGCCTTTGTCACGGGCAGCCGTCTTCGACAGCACATGTTGGTGAGGTCTCTCGCTCATTCTTTCTCTCTCTCTCTCTCTCTCTCTCTCTCTCTCTCTCTACCAGGCTCTCTACCAGGCTCTCTCTTCTTCCACATAGACAAAGGAAGGGGCGCTCCCCTCCCCCGCACGCAGATGGGTATAGGTGGGTATGCATTTCTACAGGAAGGAGAGCCGGAAGAACAACTGCACACACGCCCACATGCGGAATGATCCACCTTCTTCTCGTCTTCGCCTTCAGGGTGCAGCCGGTCTGGTTGAATTGAGACAGGGTTTTGGCTCGCTGCACTGTGCTTACAGAAGCAAGCTCACAAAGACCATCTGCCGCAGCAACATGTTTTGTGCTTGTCTTGCACTGCTTTGTTGCCAAGTGTATTTGTCTAGAAAAGACTTGCATGAAAGGCTGTCCTTGACGGTGCTGGTTTCGCCAAGTGGCTCTTCTCCAAGTCGAGGCCGGCCTTGTTGATGTCCACGAGCTTCTTTCCCTGGGTCCCAGAGCAGTCTTTCTCTTTGGTTTTGGGTCGGTGTTTTCATTTGGCTGGCAAAAATGTTAAGCTCTTTCGATGCAATGAGTTGTCTAACCACACAGTTCAGCTTCGTTCTGGGCCCCTCGCATCATAGTCCACGATTGATTGGCTGCAAATTTCATCCAAGGGGTCAACCATGTAGAGCACTTCGTAATCCTCCGCTTGGGACTTGGAATCAAGAGGACGTGACATGGTGTGATATACGCTGCTCCTTCAATCTCATCTTCTCCATGGCAGGAGCTATCTCCGCAGCTCGCCTGCCTTCACCAGTGACGAAGTAGATCTTGTCCTGGCCTTCCTGTGGCTCTTTATGGGCCGGAGGACAAGATGCCGCTTCCATTGTCGTCATGTCTTAGCGTTCGCAAACGTTCAAGAGCCATGTGACAGCAGAGCCCGTGACACCTGGACCCGGGCATCTGAAGACTTGGCTCTCTGATGGTAACCTGGTAAACAAACGCCCTTGAACCTTCACAGCTGTGTTCCTATTTACAGTGGTTTGCACATGTCGCCTTGATGGATCTTCCCTGGGTCGTTGTGTCAGCACGGGCAGAGCTGAAACCTGTGCAAATCAATAATATTAATATAGATGTCACGGTAGTCCACCAAAGTCACGCATTCCAGGAGCGCACGCTCTGATTTCCAAATGCCAGAAATCATGAAAACTGTGGGAATGCCCTTCAAGCTGGATCGAAATTCGTAGTTCATGTTTCATATGTCGAAGACGCACGGTGCAGTCAACCATGCGTTGGGTAGTTGGTGAAAAACCGTTCTGAAGCTCAAGAACTACCAGACTGCGACTGGCACCCGAACTGCCCTTGGGCTGAAGACATCAATGCCCTAAGCCTGAGTGACTGTCCTTCATGCGGGATATGTATTCATCGAGGCTTGTCTGGTTGTCGCCGCTCTTGGACGACCAGAAGCGCACGAACCGCTTCAACTCGTCCTGCTCTGCATTCATGTGGTACGAAGGATGCTTGCAACAGTTGCCCTTCCGACCTGCCTTCAGAGTTTGACCTCCCTTCTGCATCATTGGTACGGTCGTGTGGTGCACATCCCTACTGCCTCACCGGGCAGGTGCCCGTCCTTGTAGTCCAGGTCTTCCACGAGACCAACCTTGAAGTACTTGCCGTAGCCTTAGGCCATTGGGGGTTAAAAAGACGCCCATTTGTCTCCTTTTCAAAAGCTAAACGACTCCAGGCAGCTCGTCCAGAAGGATTCGAACTTGTTGGGCTCCTTGTCCCGCAAGTCCTGAGCTGAATCAAGTCCCTCAATGGAGAACCGGTGCCATGAAATGCCATGAACTGCACGTTGCGTGCTGCAGTGAAATGACCGGAATGCTGTTCTGCAGTCTGAGACCAACACATCGATGGTGTCCAGGACCTTTCGCACCACTCGCTTGCGGATAATCTTCAGGGTACGGCTCTTCTGCAAAATCTCTCGGCCCACATTCAGCGGGAGGTCCTCCGAGTCCACCACACCCCGGACGAAGGTAAGCCATCGGGGAACCAGGTCCTCAAACTTGTCGTTAATGAAAACACGTTTCACGTAGAGGCGCATGGCGCGGCCCTCTGGAGAGAACATGTCGCGGGTCAGCTCGAAGGGCATGGTAGAAGGAATGAACACCAAAGCTCGGAATTCGATCTGACCCTCCACCTTGAAGTGGGTCACCGTCATGGGGTCGTCAAAAGCTTTGAAGGTAGTCTTGTAAAACTCGGTGTATTCCGACTCATTGACCACATCCGGATTGCGCAGCCAAATGGGCTTCATCTTGTTCATGATGTCCCACTCGTACACGGAACGTGGCACACTCTTCATTTTCTGCTTCTCACCTTCCTTTGGTGGAGGCGCTGATTCATCGGGAACCTGGTCGTACTGGACTTTCTCATTGTACAGCTCAATGGGGAAGGTGATGAACTCGCTGTACTTCTTGAGTAGGTCCGACAACTTGCCAGTGTCCAGATATTCTTGTGCCTCTTCGCGCAAGTGCAACACAATCTTGGTCCCACTCTGCTCACCGAAGAGCTCTGTCTCCTCAGCTTCCTTGATGCTGTAAGAGCTGCCCGAAGAGGACCACTTCCAGATCTTTCCGTCACTCTCCTTCTTGAAGCTCTTGGAATACACGTCCACCTGGTTTGCCACAAGGAATGCCGAGTAGAAGCCCACACCGAACTGCCCGATGAGGCTGACATCTGCTTCGCCGCTACCCAGCTCCTTTACGAAGTTGGCGGTGCCTGAGCGAGCAATGCGACCCAGGTTCTCCTTGAGCTCCTCCTTCAACATGCCAACTCCGTTGTCTTCAATCAGGAGCAGCCTGTCATCCTTGTTGGTATTGATACGCAGCTTCATCGGCTCAGGGGGCGCGTCGCTCTCCGTCAGTGCCAGGAAACGTTTCTTGTCGCAAGCATCTGCGGCATTGGACACCAACTCTCGAAGAAACACGTCCTTGTTGGAATACAAGGAGTTGATAATGATATCCATGACCCGGCCCACCTCTGCCTGGAACTCAAACTCCTCACCATCAGCTACCTCTGTGGCAGTGGCAGTTTCAGCACTTTCAGCTCGGCGAGCCAAGCTGAATTGCCTGTGTCCACTGCGCTGTAACGTAGAGGGAAGGCCAGAGGTGAGGATCGTGAATGCAGCGGGTCCAGCGAAGTACCTGCTCAGCAGTAAACGAAGGAATCATGCCTCCAAGCGAAACTGGACGCGACTGAGGCTACCAAGCCACACAAGGAATCCACCCACCAGCGATCTCAAAATTGGTGAGGAATGCCCTCGCTGAACTTGCCGCCGGGATGGGATCATTCTGCGATGATGGCGGAGGGCTTCAAAAGTGGCCCAAATCCTGACCTGTGGAACCAAACAGCTGCGGGTCGGCAGTCGACAGGATCTTTGCTGGCGTGATGCAGAGGGAGAGCTGAGGAATGAGGCAGAGGGAGGGCTGCACGCAGATCTCAGCTAAGGCCGCTAAGATGCTTTGCAGTGGGATCGGGCCGCAACTCCCGGACTGCCGCCTCAGAGGTCACATCACAGGCGTTCCCACTTGTTGCAGTTACAGCGATGCCGGTGGGGCCAAGACTGGCTGCCAAGGAGACGGCAGGGACAGGATCCCAAACGCCCTGTCGCGTCGCAGTGCCAATGCGAATGCCAATGCGCAATCTCTGCGAAGTTACAGAGAGTTTTGTGCGGCGTTGCGCGGCGTTCTGCATGGTTCTGCTTTGGACCCTTTTGGCAGCAGGCCCAGGCTCCCAGCCTGGCACGTGCTGTCCGCGTGTGCCTGGGTCTGGGAGGGGGCGCTGCGTGCAAAAGTTCCGACAGCTCCGAGCTTTCGATTGAAAATACCTGTGACGATATGTGCAGTAACTGTGTAAGCTGAGGCTGCAGATTCTAAAGCGAACGCAAGCACCGAGCACTGGACGTCTGCCAAATCTACGATGGCTGAAACCTGCTGGAGCAAGATGACCTTGGACGGCTTGGTGGCGTTGTGTGCTAGAAGCCATGGCGGCAGATTGAATTCCATGAAGCTTGGTGGTCCGAGCCCCGCCGTTCGTCTGGGCGTTGGTTCCTGGGTCCAGGTTTCCGGTGTTCCAGTACTGCAGGTCTGACGTGTGAACTCTCACCTCTCACCGGGCTGCAACCTTCCTAGATCGGCAAAAGAAGCTGTGGAAACCCAGTGCGCAGGCCTTTGGAAAGCCTTTTGAAGGTCGCATCCGAGGATTGCGCCGGCCTCATTGCGGGCATCAAAGGACCCTGAGGCCGACTGGGAGCAAGTTCTGGGACATTTTCAAGCTGCGGGGCATTGACGACGTTTTGTCGGGGCATCTGAGGGCCGAGCCCTTCCGAGAGTTGCTGAATCCGGACCTGCGACTGTCCAAGCTTCCACTCAGAGCGGGTGAATCTCGGCCTGGTTGGGTGATGCCTCCCTGCGCCCCTGCCCCTCGTCCCCCACACACTTTTCCCACACCTCTATCTCCATTTTGGGCCCGCCCGACCCTGCAGTCCTATATTGGCTGCTCCAGACGGCCGTCGCGAAGCGTTAACGCTTGGAGGAGACAACATAATGGCACTTGGTAGGCTGTGGGGAGCCTGTGCCTGCCTTGCTGGGGCTGCCGCGGGCAGAAAGAAGAATGCACAGGAACCACGGTGCTCCTGGCGCTGTCTCATGATTCAATACAAGTCGGAACCTACCCACTTGCTTCATGACAATTTCAGGATGCCTTTCTTGCTGGCCTTCTCGACCAGAGTGGGAAGTGACAAAGTAGCTTGGCTGGTGCCGGCCTGTCAATGTGTGGAACTAGGTATGGCACGCCAGCAAATCGGAACCCCATCGTGAAAGGAAGAATAAGAACACTGACCTGCTGTAATACTTAGAGCGCAGGTCACATAAACAACACCTGGCACGGAGGCGCAACGGCAACGGAGGTGCTTTGCGCAGCAATTTGCTACCATCACGTGCCTCAGCCCGTGGAGCAATTTGCAGCTGAGACGGTGCTGTGCCGTCCGTCTCGGCTTCCTGGCTTGAAGTCGCCTGCGTTGCCGCTGCAGCAGTCGTTACAGTACAAGGCAAGACGAGCTGCGTCCAAGCTGCGCTTCTGCTGCTGCTTCGCGAATCCTCACTGTCGGAAGAGGCGGCAACCAGAGTCCCTTGCCTTGGGTGATTGCTGCAATTATGTGCCCCACTTCACGAATGTGCCCTCAACTTGCTTAGTGTAGATCTGGGTCGACGGCCCCTCATCGAAAGCGAACTTCTTCTTGTGCTTTGCGCGCTCCTGTGAATTGCCGCCCGGACGGGCCCACATCCCATCGCGATTTCCTTCGATGACTGTCGGAATTGGACGGCCTTGTCGGCCTCCTGTTTCGGATCCTCAGGTCTGCGGCGGTCAGCGATTGTGATCGTGGGTGCTCCCGGCCCACCCCAGCCGGCCGGGGCCGCCGCGGCTGCCACGGCTGCCGGGGCTTGGCCCGCGAAGCCCGGGCCCGTGGCTTGTGCGGACATCAACTCTGGCCTTGGCCAAACCCAAGCTTAGTTGAGGGGTTCATCATGATTCATCCGTCTGCTGGCCTTGCCCTCCCCTCAAGTTGTCCGCAGGGAAGCTACCATCCCAGACATACAGCCGCTGGTGCGAAGTCGCGATCTGCATGACTCTCGATATGCGGGTACGCTTCGCCCCGAGGCAGCACCCACCACCTAAACCACCGAGGCGGGGAAGGATGTGCAGAATGTCGATACCATAGGGACGGGGTGCCACTCGCTCGGGGAAAAGGGAACCGCCATCACCAGTGTAGTAATACGTAGAAATAATCACAATAAGAATGACAATTACGACGAACTGAACCAGACCTGTGTCAACTCCCATTGGGCAAAAACTACCCACGCTAAGCGCATGTCACAGACCACAGGCAACCCCACCGTTCGCACAGGTCGAGAAGAAGAAAAAAAAGCCGCGAGAGCTAGAACCCAAACAAGACCACAGGCACTCCCAGGCCATCGGAATCATCTATGTCTCCGTTGAAAATGTTGAGACTGCATGCCGTGCCACTTCTCGGAAGCTTCACTGCACACCTTGTTTGCCTGCAGTCCAATCCTAAACCGTCAGCCGTGACCTGAACTTGGGAACTTGCTGGGCAGCAGGCAAGAACAGGAGAGTGGACATGGCTTGACCGCTGCGCACCTCTCGAAGGTCTTGCAGGAGGGAAGGTGCACAAAGCGCCATCGGAGTCCACACTACGTATCCGATGCTGGACTGCAGGTATGCACTCATGAATGCATGTAAGGCCCACAGACGCCTCCCCGGCCATACCTACTTCCCTGGCTACATTTATGCCTATGCACGCTCTGATGTTACAGGAACCGGGAAATGAGGACTCGCACCAGTGGAGAGACCTGGCATCAGCAATTTACTAGGGCCAACGTCGGGCAAGGCACTTGACTTCCACCGGGACCGCAACTGAGGCAACTGCCATGCCCAACTGGAACCAACAAATGGAGCAAGCCAGAATCCGATACTTTGGCATAATCGGAAACAAGCTGAACAGCACCTGACAAAGACGCCACATGTCAGCTGTCTTCCCCCAAGATGGCGGGTCATCTGACGCCCGGCTGACGCCCGTCGTATTTGCGACAAATAGAGCACGCACCGAACCCACACTCGTGCGCACAACCTGAGCCATGCCAGAAGGACTGCCATAACTGCAAACAATGTATCCACCTGCCCAACCTTAAAGAGGCATCTGAGCACAACCTTAGGGCGTATTCCAACCGGGCTTGTCCTATCATCGACAGAAGCTGCGATTCATCTGAGTGGTTGAGCATTGGCAGGGCATCACCTAGTAGTTCCAAGGGTGTTGACCGAATCTTGGTTTGCACTGCGTCACACAGCAAGTGCTGAGTTTCACGGGCCTGGTTTTCGGGCTGGGAAGTTCGCAGGAAAAAGAAAGATAGTTTCTGCAGATGCATGGTGCAGCAGACAGGATTTACGAGCTCTTTATAAATAATTAGCATTTCTCCTCATCGTTCGAACTAGCTTGAAGTACCAAACTCACTACTGGATTTGGTTCTCTTCTGCAAAAACACATCCAAAAAATCCAAAACAAAAACACGTATAAACATAATGCGTAAACATTCCAAGCAAGTTTTTAAAAACAAGCATACACATAGTTTCCATCCACAACCAAATAAATTTCCAACAACAAGCACGTTATTTTAAAAAGCTCTTCTCCATGTCTTGAACTCGGGGGGGGGGTGGCAAAGTAATGGAAAAACCTTGGTTTATGCCCCAAACAGCGCATGGCAAGCCCTGCGGTCCATGTCGAAGGCTATACTGGGCATTTTACTGGTTTTCGCCCCAATTCAGCACCTGACAAAAAGGAAGTTAAAGTAAAGTATGTGTTTTTAAACTGTGTTCTTCATCGGAAAAGTTTACCGGAAAATGAAGTCAAAACGAAGTGCTGTTTTTTGGAACTTTGTTTTTGGAACAGTAATCTTTTGAAAACTAGTTTTTCCGGAAAGTCATTTTCCTGGTGGTGGGAAGTTGAAATGAAGGGCTCCTTTCGGAAAAATAGTTCATGAATAGCTGGAAATGCCGGGTGGTTTGCTTGTCTGGGAATGCCAATGGTGGCTGTTCATGGGCTGCGGAACCATCAGACAATTTTCAGGCACAGGCCCAACAGTCCCAACAACCATAAACGAAAAACACATTCCACGAACACGCCCAACCCCTGAAATTGAAATTCAGCAACAGCAAGCTTGCTGCATTTTATGCTCGTGCTCTTCATGGCATTCAGGCTCTGAGCACAGAAACAGTTCGACAAGCCAGGCAAGGACGTACAACCGTCCGACATGGCGAACTCGACAAGTGCTCGAGCATATTCCCAACCGCCCACGCCCCAGGTCCTAGGTCCTAGTGACCTAATGATCCTAGTGTCGTGCTTGAAGAGCCAAGTGCAACTACGGCCATTTTTTACTGGATTGCTCACTCCTGCTAGTTGCAGGGGTCGCTTTGCATCACAGTCTCTGACGCCAGCTGCTAGGTTTTCAGGGGTCGAGCCAGAAACCCGAAGGCCCCAAGGCACCTCTAAAGCTCCGGGCTCGCCGAATGGCCCGGCCAGGGACCTGTTCATGTCACCACTGCCAGTTCCGAAAGCTGACAGTACTCGTTTTCACTTTGGTGCGGCTGCGACGGCTGCTCAACAAGTCCCGGACAACACAGTGTCGTGGGGCATGCCGTCTTCACCGCTCCTGGCACTTTCCCCCTATGGTTGTGAGGATTTCTGTCACATCTCTGTCACATCTGCCGTTTGCAGGCAGGCAGGTAGAAAATGGCAGTGCCCAATTGCTAGTTACCCTTGTTGTCTATGTCGGCTTGCTTCAACCATCTACCTGAAGATCTGCTTCGCCGGCGAGCCTCTACGTTCCTAGCTGCAGCCTGTGTGAGTGAAGGTGGGAAGCTTGATTGGAGCCTAAGAAGAATCTGAGGTCTCAGCCACTCGAACGAGCCCCCTGCAACAGCGAAGGTCAACGGCACTAAGTGAGGCAACCTCAGTAACATTGAAGGAATGGCGGGTCTGCTGCATGTGGTCTGATACAAGCAGTGCCTTTGGTGACGTCGTTTGATTACGCTCGGGGCTCGCCGACTCGCCTCCCGCCCAGCCCACCAAGATTCAGGTTTCAGCCGAGAATGACGGGTTTGGTTCAGCAGCAGCGAGAACAAAAAGAACGAAACAACGACTACGATGAATGACACTCGCAATAACAACAACACGAACAACAGCAACAGCAAAAGCGACCACAGCAACAATCACAACCACCTCCACCACAACAACCACAAGAGGCAGAAAATAATAAAACAAAGAAGAATGACAATGACAAGAACAACCACAAACACTAACAACAACCACAACACCAACAACAGCACCATCAGCACCAACTCCAACTCCAACGCCAACAACATCAACTCCACCACTGACACCGACACCGCCACCGCCACCGCCACCGCCACCGCCACCCCCACCCCCAGCCCCACCGCCACCACCACCGCAACCACCAGCACCGGCACAGCACCAGCACCAGCAGCACCAGCAGCACCAGCAGCACCAGCAGCACCAGCAGCAGCGGCAGCAGCAGCAGCAGCAGCAGCAGCCACCACCACCACCACCACCACCAAAACAACACCAGCAACCAACGACAACAAGGACAACAAGGACAACACCGACACCGACAAGACAACGATGACAACAACAACAACAACAACGACAACAACGACGACAACGACAACGACAACGACAACGACAACCACAACGACGGCGACAACAACAACGACAACGACAACATCATCAACAACAACAAGAACAAGAACGATCAC